ATATCGGTTTAGTCAACTGGAAACAAACAGGTGAAGTAAATGGACTAAATACGTTTTGCACTACGTCCACATTCACACACCAGTTGGTAAGCAACTGGGGCTAAGTGCCTGATGGCACGTTGAGATGTCACAGGAGGAAGCTGGAATCAAACCTACAACCTTTTGATTGCAAGACGATTAACTACCATTGATCAACAGTTCTTTGCAGTCTTAAATAATGCATTGCAGCTGTCTGGTGGTAGCTAATGCAAGCATATCCGCCTTGCAGCAGCAGTTTGTTCTCTTTACTTCCACCTTGAGGTGCAAACAAAGAATTACAGTCAGATGTGACAATGGACTTAAAAATCAATGGAGTTGTGTTTAAAATTGTCAAAATTGCAAGCTGGAATGACTATTTAAAGATCTGAAGTAATCAGTCCTCATCCAAATATGCTACTGCAGTAAAACATACAAGTATTTATTTACTTTTATTTGATTATATGGTGGCCCTGAAGTGTTTTTGGCTTTCCTGTGTCTCTGGACACTGAATGCACGCTCACAAGCACACTTAAACCCTCATGCAGACATGTAAATCAGGTCTAATTGTAGTGTTTGAGCTGCAGACTAATCTGGTTAGAACACGCTCGGCTAATTAGCAAAAGATGAACTGACCTCACTTGCTATTTGACCTCCAGCACTTATACATCATGTTTATAGAAAGAAGGGAAGGGAGAAAGAAATAGAACAAGCCAGAATAGCAGATTTACTTCCACTCCAGCATCTGCTAATGAAATACTTTCCTTTCTCCCTCATGGGCCACAAGACTGATTTAACAGCCTCATTCACTGCTATAGATTTACCTGTTGTTTCTTCTGCCATAAAATGGGTTTTGGCTTTCTTCACGGATGTGGTGCTGGTTGAGGAAGTGCACCTCTGTGGGGGTGGAAGGCACACTGCGATCACATCCTCCAATGTGTCAAAAGTAATTAGGGTGATCGGAAAGCATACCCTATTATGCGCAGAGAGGTGTGTGCTGTGTGCCGTTAATTAGAATGATGAGTAGACTCTAATAAGGCGAGCTCAGACCATAAAATTCAGCACTTGTCTGGTTTTGTTCTGTTTCGGCTTCTTTTCTTCTTTAACAGGAAATTTACAAGGTAAGTAAAAAAGATTTAGGCCTCTTTATTGAATGACCGCCCCCACCACCAAGTCTAAAAGCCGAGTGGAAATAAGAGTACTGCTAACCTGTTTTCACCAGCTCATTGCATTCATCATTAAGGAAGAAAATGCAATCAGATTTATGAATAGATTTCTCGAAAGCCCAGTTGAGAATCTGTAAAGTCTCTTTATTACGTTGATTTGAAAAGATAACACAAGATGTCGGATGTTCTGAGGAAATAAAACTTTCTGTCAGTGTTTAAACATTACCTCTCACTGGGTCATGATGCTCAAGCTGTTTTGTTGGATCTAATAATACAAAATGACAAGTTATATGGCCTTCCCAAGGATTTTATGGGCAGAGTGGTGCTATCAATTTTCAACAAATGTATTATGCTATATACATAGTCTGTAGTGAATTTTCCTAAGAATGCTCCATCAGAATGGTGTTTTGGTTGGTTGTGCATGAATATAAATCAATCATTTGTAGAACTATCTTTTTCTATAATTACATCTGCAGAGCTTTGGAGATATGTCTTTAACAATTTTGTGCATCTGGATGGTAAATTTCTGTCAATTTCTGATTCAAGCAAGGATGGAGAGTCTCTAAACCATTTTCAACCTGGTTTCAAGGTCATGTACGCTGCAGCTAATGGCAAACTGGATTTGCTTCTATTTGAGTTTTGTTCCAACAATTGCTCTAATCTTCGGACTCAAATAGAGATTTGTGAAGAGCAGAATGCTGCTTCCCTGTTGGCACATTGATGTCGTTTAGCTTCAGATGCCATTGGCCTCTTGGCTGCTCTTGGTAGGCATGTAATTGTGCCGTATCCTTTAGTTTTAATTCAGATTTTAAAATCTAAGGGTATTTTTTTTTATTACCGAACTGTTTTTTTGTTGTTGTTTTTTTATATCATTTTTTTCCCGCAGAGTTTTTGCAGCGCTAGTGGCTCGTATTTTTTATAGTAGGGAGACAGGAAAGAGGGCAAGAAGAGGCGGGAGGACATGCGGCAAGGGTCGCCGGGACCGGGAGTCGAACCCGCGACGTCCGCGTCGAGGACTGAGGCCTCCAAACGTGGGGTGTGCTGACCCCTCAAGCCATGTTTTCATCAATGTTTTGAAGTATTGCATTAGAGAAGGTTGATGGAAATGACAAAATTGGAAATAATTTCCTCAATTTTATGAAAAAGTTTTCTCCCTTTTTAGTTAATGCACTAAAACAGAGATGGCAACATGTTTGCCAAATAAGCGCTGACGTAACGAATCCCAGTCGAAACCTCCAGGTCAGAGAGGATAACTCTCTGTTTCTCTGAATACTTGATGAACTTTTTAAATGATAAGTTTCTCTCCATAATTATTGGATTTTTTCATCCAATAATTATGGAGGAAAACATAATTATTGGATGAAAAACATTGGGGCATTTCATTGGTATCATTTGTTCTGCCGTATGCTTTAGTAAACCTGCAAGATCTTCACAGAACAGCTGTATTGATACTGAGTTTGATTAAGCCTGACTTGTGGAGGCAGTTGGTTGCAATAGATTTTATTTACGGTATCAGAATCGAGGGGGCTTACAATTAAAATTTCTATTTGTAAAAGAAAAATGAAAACTCTAGACCTGTTAATTTCCCTGTTACACAATATTTTCTGCTGGTTAATTTTAAAATCCCAATTAAATATCCCAATGTTTGTGATTCAATGTGACAAAATGTGAAAACGTTTAAGAGGTATTTGGATTGTGCATAAAAATATTTTGAAAGGTAAAAATGATCCAGCAGGCGAAAAAAAAAAAAAAAAAAAAAAGGCTTCCTGTGAAAACATTTTAAAAATTCTTTCTGAAAAATCACACCAAAGCTGCAAATTACACAGCAACACAATTTTTGTAAGCTTCAGTAGGAAACTTTGAAAGCAGACATTTGAGATGAAAGTAAATTTACACAATTAAAACACAACCTGGAAGAAAGAGTTGGATAAAAAATTAAATGAAGTTCCCGGCAAAAAAAGACAAGCATGAAAGTAAAGGACAAGTGAAAGATGGAGAGGCAGAATAAGGAATATGAAGAAGATGGGGACGATATGAGGAGGAGGGGAGCTGATAATGAGAGAAAAGGATGACTATATGAAAGGCTGCAAGAGGAATGCGTGTCAAGAATAAAGGCAGAGGGGGAGCTGTTTGCCTGAGGGTGCCTCATGGTGTGATGTCGTTGAATCTTCACACCATGTTTTGTTACAAAGGGCTGTGTAAGGGTCTGGCTTATCAACTTGCCAGCTAACTTATGCTGGCTGGAACGTCTCGTCTTGACTCCTTACAGTGTTGTCACTGGTAATTTTGTGCACATTAGTTTAATTCAACCCCAAGAACCACGGAAGAGGTGTCAAAAAGGCACAGTAGTCTGAACTTGAGGCCATAATAATGTGCGTCAGTGGAGCAGAAACACAAACATTTTTTAGCAAATAAAGTAGAAGGCAAGGATTTCTCTTTTAAAAAAGCAACATTTATTATTGGAAGGTGTTTTAAAATTGGTGCTAAATTTCTTAAATATTGGCATATGACAGTTTTTCTACTGGTCTGTACTTGGATTAACATGGAATTTTCTGCAGATTATTGGTTTTGCTGTAAAATATTATTTGTATTAAGTCTTCTATTTGTATTTTAACCCTCCTGTGGTCTTAATAGACAGGGGAAGTTGGACGCCATGAGTTTTTTTATTCTGTCCGCAGTGGGGTGTGTGTCCTTTTATGATCTTATTTTATTTTTTTGTGTGTGTTTTGTGACTTGACTGTCTGATGGGACAACCCCCTGCTTCCCTTCTTTTCGTCTATGACATGCTGTGCTCCTCCTGAGCGTCATGCTAAGGGGTTAAAAAATACAGTTTCTAGAAAGAAATGGCTTAGCAGGCTGGTATGATTATTATTAGATCCTGATATAACGTACAATGTCACCATAAACTGTTGAGATGATTCTGAATACTCGGTGTAAAACATATGTCCTGGAAATTTGTATTTTGTATTTTCTTTTTAAGCTTTCTTCTTGTTTTCAGGAAAGTTGAGCTTCTATCGTAGATTAAAACAGTTTTATATTTCCAATTTGTCTCCACACATTTTCAAATTTCCTGGAGAAGCAGCAGCAGCAGCCTCTCTCCTCACAATCTCATTTGTTATCTAGGTCAGCATTTGTCCCTGATCACAAAAAGAGCAATATGAATAGACACGACGCTATGTTAATGAATAAGCTCAAGATTTTTTAATGCTTTCGACAAAACAGCTTTTTACATGAGTGGCTCAACCACAAACTATCTGTTCTGTCTTCAAGAGGACATTGAAACATCTATTTTAATGTAGTAGTGCGCCTGAAAAATGCAGTTGAGTGAGCATTATTTTTACACAATATGTAGATTAGTTAGTTTAATTTTTCTTTATACCTGGTTGTGGCTGTAGCAAAGTGAGAAGATGGATGGACGGATCGACAGACATTTTCAAATATCAAAATCAAATTCCATATTTTTCAGACCGGACAGAGATCTGTTAAAAAAAAGTTAGTCTGCAGCTTCGATCAAATGGATTACGTTCGTCATTACTGGGCTACATTACTTCTACTTTTGTTTGTACTGTGTTACCCAAAGGCCTCTCCTAATTATGGATTCTTATCTAATTTTCATCACAGCGCTAACAGAATAGAGGAAAATGTATTGCACACACTGTGCGAGGTGAGCTTTTATGAGTTTGAATGGCAGACACCACAAAGCGGCGGCGAAGCTGGCGAATAATGAACAGACTATTAATTAAACCCATACCTGTCCTCTTTCTGCAGCGCATTCTTTTCACCTTTTTCTGCCTGTCTGTCTCCCTTTTTGTCTGACAGAGACGGTGATGGATACACGGACGGCGACAGCTGAGCTCGGCTGGATATCGTTCCCTGCCAATGGAGTAAGAACAATGTGGAAAAGCCGGTCTGTGTATGTGCAGCCACCCATGGGGAAGCGGTTTGACTACACTTTACAGAGGTCCATTAACGAGTCAGTCAAAATTTTAATTACAGTGCCAAGGTGACATCAATTAACCACTACTGATGCAGAAAGAAAATACATTCCAAAAGATCAGAACAGTACCGCAAATGAGTCTGTGATAGAACAGAATGAATGAAATAATGTATTTTTTTCTATTACCTGCCTTGTAATCTAGTGATTTCTTTAAAATTCAGCCTGGCAACTAGCTGGTCACAATGGTCTGGTGTGAGTGTGTTTGAGGTGAGTTGCTCTAATTGTGATGAATGGATGTCCCTGTGCAGCAGAGAAGGTTAGAGCAGAGAAAAAGCCAATGAAAAAGGAAGGAAGAGGATGGGAGAAAATTGGGAAGGAGTGATAGAGAAAGTTTAATTTGTGTCTGGTTTTCATAAACCCATTAATCATCTTGCTTTCTTACTGGCTCTTCCTCTGCTTCCTTGCCATCTTGCACCCCATTGCCCCGTCTTCACTCAAACATTGCCTAGTGGGAGGAGGTGAGCGGCTACGACGAAAACCTTAACACCATCAGGACTTACCAGGTGTGCAATGTATTTGAGCCGAGTCAAAACAACTGGCTGCTCACCACATACATTGACCGGCGGAACGCACAACGCATCTACGTGGAGATCCGCTTCACGGTACGGGATTGTGCTTCCATACCAAGTGTCCTGGGCTCCTGCAAAGAGACGTTCAATCTTTACTACCTGGAGACTGACAGGACTGTGTCAGAGAGCATCAACGGGGTGGAGTATTGGGCCAATGCCCCTTTTTTAAAGGTAACCTCAAAAAATCTCAACCTTTTCGAAATAAGAAATGTGAAAAAAAAACTGAAGCAGGTTGTACCTTTTATTCCACAAAAGTCAAATACACCAGTCAGGCACAACATGATGACCATCTGCCTAATCAAGCTCTGGTCCCCTCTAACTGGCAAAACCAGTACGACCAGTGAAGGTATGATCTTTGCTAGATCCCTCACAGTGTTGGCAGCACATTTTTTGAATCCTGCGAGGTGCAAGTTGGGGGCCTCCATGTATTGAAATAGTTTGTTTAGCAATGCTGTGTTGGTTTGACATTCAAAGTATTTGATGGTCAAGTGAAAAGTACATGCTTCACCAACCATCTTTAGACAATTTTTGGTTTATTGTAAGAAGCCACAGCTTCATTTCTTACTGACTTTTCTGCAGCTCTGCGCTAAAAGCTATAATGCTGGACCATGCAGAGTCAAAAGCTCCTGGGGTCCAATTGATCCTGACTTTAAGACCCCAAGAGGCTCTTGGCTGCGTTTATTTCTGAGTTTATTATGTCAGAATTGTCCATGACTGCACCTTGATGCATCAAGAAATGTATGGATTACTGCACCCAAAACTAGGTGCAATGATGGGAATATAACTAGTTTTATTCACATCACCAATTAGTGTTTGCTATCTTATGCCTGATTGGTGTATATTGGCAGTGCTTATGTGCATGCAGTCGGTCAACACCTTTACAAATTTACCAGTGCTCAGTCATCTCTTTAACCGCCATATTGGATTTACTCCCAGTGAACCATCTACTTCTTCCAGGTGGACACCATTGCAGCTGATGAGAGTTTCTCCCAGGTGGATTTTGGGGGTAGACTGATGAAGGTGAACACTGAAGTAAGAGGTTTTGGACCTCTCTCCAAGGGCAAAGGCTTTCACTTGGCTTTCCAGGATCTGGGTGCTTGCATGTCCCTTTTGGCAGTTCGAGTATTCTACAAGAAATGTCCAAGCATTGTACAGAACTTTGCTTTTTTCCCTGAGGTATGCTAAATAATCCAAAAATTATCTTTCCATTCTTTCTTGGTAAAGGGTGCGGTTTTTTTTCATCGATCTTTTTTTTTTTCATTCAGACGCTGACAGGAGCAGAGTCCACATCCTTGGTTATCTCCCGAGGAAGCTGCATTCCAAACGCTGAGGAGGTAGACGTGCCTATAAAGCTCTACTGTAACGGAGATGGAGAGTGGATGGTCCCGATTGGCAGCTGCAGCTGTAAGGCAGGCTACGAACCAGACAATGGCAACGTGTGTCGAGGTAAGTCTTTGACTTAGAGAAGTCGCGATTCCTAAGCAAAAATGTTTTTCAGAAAATAACTCAAGTGTGTTCTGAAGTTGCTGGCACAGTAAATGTTTGCATGCTGCACATGCAATTTAACAAGGCAGAGTGACAGCAAATCAATATTGTGCAAACACGTTTCCAATATTCTGTCATAGTAATCAGCATCTGAAAGCAGCAAGAAATGACAGATCATGCAAATGGGCTTTAACTACTCAAAGTATTGCTGTAATCATACATGTATCATCAACATTATTACCAAGCCTTTATTAATATCCTCACTTGGGATACAAAATATTATTATAACGGCCTCATCAGACTGCATTGTAATAATGTTGATTCTATTTAAAATGTGATTATTTTTTTCACAGTTCAGTTGGACAAACCATTACTTTTTGGCAGCCCCAGCTGAATGATTCACATATATTGTAACTACACAATACCATGTATTTTTGTCCAAGAGGGGGGGAAAGCACGCAAAGCACCATATGTTCAGATTTGCCGCGCCACCCTCTGATAAATGTGGCACAAAAATAACTCCTCTTCCCCCCAGAGTTCCAGATATCCTCACCTCTTTTCCCTCCTTTTTATATCTGGCCTCCTTCCCCATTCCCTCAGAAATAGTACTCATCATTTCTTATTCTCCCCAGAGAGTCTCATCCATTTTTTTCAGTGTGTGTGCGTGTGTGTGTGTGTGTGTGTGTGTGTCTTTGCTGGGAGGGAACTGTGATGTATGTTCACGTGGTGAAATAAGCGAGACCTCTTCCTCCCATGTTAATTACTTTAGCGTATTTTTGCCAGATCAGTCTGCTGTAAATTAGAAGACAGACAGACAGACAGACAGACAGACAGACAGACAGACAGACAGACAGACAGACAGACAGACAGACAGACAGACAGACAGACAGACAGACAGACAGACAGACAGACAGGAAGCAGACTGATGCATAGCAACTAGTCTGCCTCTTGTTAAACACATTAAATACTTTGACTGAAATGCTTGTCAGGGGACTGATGTCAGTTTATGTTTTGCACTGGCAACATTTCTCATCATTTGACATTTGAGTGTTTGAACGACGTAAACCAATCATGAGTCGTGGGAATGATTGAACCTTTTACTGCGAGTCTGCTCCAAACACTGGAAAGCATCGAGTCTCAATTACTTTAACGGCAAATGTCTTCAGTTTTGACACTTTGCAAGTAAGCTTGCAAAGTGTCTCAAACCTCAAAGTAATGTCTTGCTTCTTCTCCCTTAACAACAAAAAGTGTTTTTGCTGTTAAAACCTAAAGTTTGGAAAAGTCAAAGTACGATGTTAGATACTTTGTTTTAGTAAAACAAAATAAACAAAAGACAAATTAGCAGTTTTTTTTTTTTACTTGGTTGCATTTTCTGTTTCTTGTCGGTTTTATGTTCAGGCTCTACGTTCAAGTTATGCTACATGTGTGTAATAATTGTTGGTGAATCTTTGTAAGTTTTGCTTTTATTAAATCCTCAAAGTGCACAGTTTAAGCAGCTCTCTGCTCTTTGGCTCTGCTTTGATTTCACCCTTAATGACCACAAGTTCAAAGGATGAAAAGGTTCATCGGTAAAACTCGCTGACAAACTGGACATTACTAACAAACAAAAATAAAAACAGAAATCATAGAGTAGAAAGAAAATCTAAAGATTATTGAAGAACAAGTAACTCAAAGTACTCTATAATGAAAAATATTTGCTAGGATGATAAATGATGTCTCCAAGTATTCTTCCAAAAGCAAGAGCATATGTTTGTTTCTGCTACCAACCATGCTGTGCTTTTTGGTGAAATAAAAACTTCTGCCAAATTTAAGGATTAATATTACTGATTCTGAGATGGGATTAAATTGCTCTATCAAATGAAATAACTCTTCCTTCAGTCGCTGAAAGATTTTTAAAAATGTGTTCACTGTTAATTTAGTGTAAGCTGACATTCAAAAGTCTCTCATTTGAGTACTCAAACTAAAAATAGCCTCTACTGACATATCTCTGATTTCTGACGCTGTGTCAGCATGCACCTGCTTGATGCTCTTATCTCCAAAAAAGCGAGTTATGGTGTCGAGGGACAGTTCGTCTTGTCTGTCTTCCCCAATCTGGCATCTTCTTGGTTGGCTTCCTTTGCCAATCAGCTGATAAAACCTTGGCAGAAAGCTGGACTCACTACTGGAACAGATGGTCATCTCTTTGTGAGTGTTTGAGCATGGTGTTTATTTTGCACCAAAACCACGTATTGTGCAAACCATACGGCGCAACTGGCTCGTGGTCAAAGTCATGTGTGTGCATATTCAAACGTGTGTTTTTGTATGTATTCTTGGAAAGCTAAGCAGTGTGTCTACACACATTTTTCAGTCTTTTTGGAGAACAAGAATGCCATATAGTTTATCACATATGTGCATAAACGGCTTGTAAAACGTTTGAGGTAAACGGAAGAAATACCTCTTTTAAACCTTTATCTCACCAAATCTCTTCACTGCTATCTCAAAGCCCAGTTTAACCAGATTAGTTCAGCGTATCTTCAGTTTTTTGGCCACTGTGGTTCAGTAGATCGATGGATGGCCACTCAAACACTCAAAGCTCTTTGCACTAGAGCCACATTCTCCTGGAAACTCACAAAAGTCTCCACCCATTCATACACCAACACACTGTTAATAATTGGTATAGATTTTGAGGTCAATATCTCTCTTTCCAATATTGTTTTGAACTGAGTGGTAATCTTTTAATCAGATAGTTATGAGTTTGAGTCCAGTGTCCAACCAATCTACATATCAAACCACTTTGAGTGGTCAATATGACTGGAACTGCACTAGAAATTTAGACTATAAACCATCTAAACTTAATATAAAAATAAAAAGTTAACGATCAATTGATATGTATTGCAACATTTATATTGCTGAATTTACAGACCCACCCGGATGGACAGGTTGTAAGTAAAATGAATAATACAATTTAGTTATTCTGATATTAATAGATTACTGAATGTTATGCATTTTTGTTATTTTGGAAAAAAATATGTGGGGTAGCACATTTAACCTGCACTCACCTGCTTTGCCTCTGAGGTTTCACTAGCTTGACATATGGCCACACTTGGATATGCACAGGTAGCTGAACAGACAGGTCTGAAGAGGTAAATAATAAAGAGAGGAACAAGACTTGTTGCCATGGGGACACACCTCATGTGTTTGAACAAGGTTGGTTGAATAAATGACCTTGACGATCCAGGTGCCCTTCTGCCTTTTCAAGAGACAAAAAGAAGACAAAATGACGGTTTGCTGCAAAAACACAGAGAACACGAGGAAAATGGCGACCAAAATGTAATTTTTGGGCTAAAGTGTGACAGAAAACCGACACTGCATTTCACAATGACACAGTTGATGAAGTGCCATTAGCAGGTGGCAGTACTATGCTTTGGAGAGTTTTCTTTCTTAAGCATGGTTAGGAAAGCTGGTCTGTACTTCAAGAAAACCAGACTTTCAACAACCCTGAACAAACATCAGCAGCAAAACCAGAAAGCTGTAGATCCAACCATGTTTATATGTTGATGGATCAGTCAAATTTCAACCCAGGTCTAATCTGTGACTTAAAGACTGAGGATCGTAGATGTTCTTCAGAGTAAGCACACACTTTTTTTCAAAGCAGAACGGACTGAAAGCGCTGTGTCTAGATGTGCAAAGCTAATAGAGAGTAGAGAGATCTGCAGCTGTAATCTCAGGAAAAAGGTGGTTGTGTAATATAATTTCTCTGAGGGGATAAATAAGTGCCAAGCAAGAAGAAAATTACAGTCGTTTCTATTTAATCAAAGCGCAGAAGAAAACAACAAACAAAGGACTTAAAAAGTAAGTTTAGAAATATCAAGTGCAACTTTTTATTGGTTTACTATAATGTATCACTTTACTTATGGAAAATGTGTGTTTAATCTGAAGGAATGGAAAATAGATATCATTTGTCCGCAAATACAGTTTCACTGAAACAGATATTATCTCAGAAACTGAACCGTTCATTTGAAACTGTCTGTATCAACAAAACAGCTTAGTAAGGAGAAAAGAATTGGTAATGTTTTTGTCCATATTTCTCATCTCTATGCTAAATATGTCTTTCTCCTCTCACTTGACAATTATGCTTTTTATTGCACATAATTCTAGTGAAATGACTTGCAATTTGTGGCTGTGATGCAGAGAAAATGTAAAAAGTTTCAAGCAATATGAATCTAAGACACTGGATTATTTAAACGGCAGTATTGTTGTATTGTCATAAAGCTCTGTGACTGAGTGCAACATAATACGGTGTAAAATCAGACCTCTGGGAATATGCTCCCCCCTGTAAAAATCAACTACAAACAAAAGCATCAAGCCTGTTGTTTTGTTCAGAAGAAGCATGCTATGATAACGTTGGGAGCAAGAAATGAAAACATTGATAATTGAGTTTCTTTTCACACTTAAACTGTTTTCCTTGTTTATTTTTATTGCAATTTTTGTCCTGACTCTTGCTTTCTCAGGACAGATTGCTTCCTTTGTACATTATTTCCGTGTCTAAAACCATGCCATGGTTGACAATCAAGCGTTGTGACAGAGAAGGAAGACAGTTGTATCTAGTTAAAGACCAAATTCGAAGTTGGACGATCAAATCCTCTTTGTAAATAACCAGGTTGTAGTTTCCCAGCAGCCTGGTCAGGGAGGTTTCAACTGAATATGCATATACAAGATTAAAAAATGGGACAGTATTTTTCCCAGTTCATCTGAGAAATTGCATGAAAAGCATTTTTGTTGGGGAATGTGTGAACTTTGACTCTGGTTGTAGTAGCTGATGCACATTAATGAACTTTGTGTTCCTAAAAGGAATACCACCACAGCTCAATGTGGTAAAAATAGTCACAAAGTTCCTGTGTGTATATATTTTTTATGCTGTACCACTTTTAAAGGGCTGTAGGGACTTATTAACCGGTAGCTTCTTGTTAAAGCCAATCATTCAGATGTTCCCCATAATTTATTTTATACTCATTAATTTTCCCATTATAATTTTCTGTCATGATTTGTCCCAGTCCTGCTGGACTACAAGGTATATAATCAAACATGTGACTGAGCAAGAAGCTAATATTCTTGGTTCAGCTCTGAGTAAATCAAGAATTCCTCCCAATAGATCAAAACACGGGCATCCATCTAGAACTGGAACAGAAAATGGAGGAAAACCTATGATTTGTATGTGAATTCCCTTAGTGGCAATGCATATATTCAGTTGTATTGAGAACAGGTGTCTGCCCAACTTTTTACAGTCACAAGAGGTTGTTATTTCTAAATGTAAAAATGCCTTTGATGTTTGCGATGTTTTTGCTGCATGCAGACAGAAAGCATTGTGTTGCTAACAGCTAAATCATGCAGCACTTTCAGACGATGCTGACCCAGGCCCTGAACTCAGCTGCAAATGTCGCCCATTCGGTGTTCTGTCTGTGACTTCGATGATTGTGAAGCGTTTTCTGTCCCTTTATGCTAGAACTCCAGCAACCGGCATCCTTTTGAAAGCTTGGAGATTTCAGCCTGCTATTGTGCCTTCAACAAAAAGAGTTACCTGGGCTTTTGTGGGTGGATTGCAAAGTGTTGAAATTTGAAGAAATGAACCAAAAACAGAAAGTGTATTATCAAATTGGTCACGGTTTACAAAAGATAAGTTGTGCTGGATTTTCTTGTCCAACTTGAGGGACTTTTGACAGCACAAAAATTAGAAACATTGATGGATATGAACAAATGGTTGATTTATCTAAATTTATTTATTTTTTTATTGATGGACTTGTTTCAACAGTGCTGTAACCAACAGTGTTCTAAATGTTTAACTGATTTTGGATATGGTTGGTTAATATACCTGAAAATTTTCAGAAATCAGGAGAAATTTAGAAAATATATATTATGATTTTATAGCATGAAAAACACAAAAGATGAATATATATATATGCCTTCTGGGGTCGGGAGGTGCTGGTGTCTATCTCCAGCTAACGTTCTGGGCGAGAGGCAGGGTCACCCTGACCCTGGGTCACCATCCCATCGCAGGGCAACACAGAGACAGACAGGACAAACAACCATGCACACACCCTCGCACCTAAGGAGAATTAGAGAGACCAATTATGTTTTTGGACTGTGGAAAGAACCCACCATGTACACTTAAAAAATCAAAACAACAACAACAAAAAGTCCAGCCATGTTTTGGCAATAAGTTCATGTTTTTTTGTGTCTGAATAATGAGCCATTTCAAAAACCTCTAGAAAGTGATGTCACAAATCAGCAGCAAATTACCCAGCAACCCCATCAAAGCCCAGCCTGATACCTCGCAACCCAAGCAGAGCTCCAGCATGTTTGGTCAGCTAGTTTTCTGCTGTATGTGCTGTACAATGGCTGCTGGAAAAGACGAGTGTTTTGTCGTTGACTTACCATTCAGAGGCCACTTGCTGCATTCTTGTCGGCTGTGCAGGAGGCTCTACTTCTGCTTTTCAAAGATGTAGTTTCATGGTTGCACATCTGTTTGCAGACATTTTCATGTGTGAGTGTAAATGTTGATTTGGGGGGCGTGGCCAACAGCAGCTTATTTGGAAGTCTTAAGAGGCCCTAAAGCAGCTGATTCTGCCTCAAAGTAGGTCAAAATGACCAAACAAAAGTCTCATTATCTATAAATATCTTGTTTAAAAAAATTGAATGAACATGTTTTGTGTAGCCCATAGATCTGTTCTAATCTGATCAAGGAAGCATAATATTTCACCTTTAAGTGTCCTTTATCATATTGAAGACACACAATGCGTTTTGTCACCATTGCTACGTTTCGGACATGTCAACATGCTTTTCTGTATAATTTCAGATACACACAATAACTTGATTTAAGAAGTGAAAACAGTTGTGACATAAACTCCACTGATAAAATGAGCTTTTTCTCATCCATGTTCAGGGGTCCAAGTTAAGTTTTGCTTTGTAATCTCTTCACAGCTTGTCCTCAGGGCACCTTTAAGTCGTCCCAGGGGGCAGGATTATGTCAGCAGTGTCCGCTCAACAGTCGCTCCACCATCGAAGCTGCCACCCTCTGTGGTTGTCGGAATGGATATTACCGTGGAGACATGGACAAACCAGAGGACATGTGTACCAGTGAGTCAACACGTATAATTACACTCTCAGTACACCTTTCAATAAGGTGTCAAAATGACGGGTCCAGGCTTACGATCCCAGTAGGTGACATATTACAGCGTATCACAAACTGACAACACCGGCAGCTGAATATTTCATAATTAAATGAAAATCCAGCATCCGCCTTGATTTATAATTCTGCCTGTAAATTTATGCACCTCAGTCAGAGCCAAAACACACACACACACACACACGCACACACACACGCATTGTTGCGATGGGATTTTGGGAGTAGCAAGTAATAATGTCGCCACATTGCTGAGGCTCTCCATTCCAGTTGAGTATGTGTTTATTGTGTCGAAGAGTCTGTGCTTCAATGCAAGACGAAGCAGTGAGTTTGAGTAACGCAGCCACTCGGTTCCTCAGAGATATAGTGTAAGTAGGTTAAAACATGAATCATTTTGGACTCATACTCTGAAACTGAGTGTGTACTGTGTGTGCAGCTGTACAAAGTATGTAATCACTCATGGGTTTTTGTGCTGTTCCCGGTGACCTGAATACATCTTCATATTTTGAGGGATTAAAAACAGCTCTGGTTCAGTCATATTTAAGATCTATTGTGTTTTTAAACATTTATAGTCCTCAGAAAATACAAGCAAAGCTTTCAATGGTATAATTTGTGTCACTGTCCACACAGAATTTGATATAAATGATTAAATGTGTAAATCAGCTTGTGTAAATCATTAAATGTGTGATTTGTAAATTTTCAGAGCTATTGTCATTGGTCAGTTTCTGCGACACACGTTGCTCGTACCTCATTAACCTCATTTTGCCATCAGAGCTGCTTTTTTGTGTCCTAGATTCAACAAGGTGTCTCAAGCAATCCTCAGACAATTTTAATATATTCTCTCAACAGCCTTGTGCTTTTCTTGGAGATTTGTTGACTGCGCATTTTTAAGATAAATTTCCTATTTCATCATGTCTGAAATGATCTCAATTGGACTGAGATCTGGTGTCTGTGGCGTCCATCAGCAAACTTTGGTTACAAGAGATGGAAATGGTCAGTAGGTATATTGTGGCATTTAAATGACTGAGTTGGTATTTATTAGCTGTGGTGGTAGACAGCCTAGCATTGTAGGATTTTGGTGAGTCTTTATTAGTTGTATCAGTTTTCACACAAAACTAAAAATCCTTGTTTGTTTTTCCCCTTAATTTATAGTCATTTCACAAAAAAATTTGCAATTGTGTTTCCATGAAATAAAAAACATTTAAAATCCCACATGAATGTCTTTGCAATAAGTATTAAAAAACATGCCTTACCATTTTCCTCCAACTACTTCCTGTTGTCTTCTTTGTAGTTTCCTCCAGCGGCAACATCTGGTTGTTGGTCATGTGACTCGTTTGAAGCAAAAAAAGTGTTTCCATTTCAGTCTATTCAAAATAAATTTTAATGCGGCCAATTAAACACCTTATTCCAGCTACTTATTTTTTTTTTTCTATTTTATAAATTGACATGTTTCCAGTAAGTCAAATTGGTCCATGGAAACAGATATTATTTTCTGGATTCTTCTGATATTTACTTTTATTTCCTTATTAAAGAAACTATTTCTTAGTAGTTGACTCTTTTATAGAGTTTGTTATAGAAAATTGCTGTTTTTTTTGTTTTTTTTTTATTGATTTCAACAGGAGTGGTGCTTTATAAAGGCAAACATTTCTCACTTCAATACCACTGAAACAGATTGTAGATGGATTCTCAGAATGTTCTGTAGGTGGGTCAGTGTTTTATTACAGCAGAAATGGTACAGAAAAGCCTAACCTCAACACTTGTAGCACTCTTAAAATGATGACGATGGAAAGGAAAAAAATCAAATTTGCCAGTGAGAGCGTGTCAGATGTCAAGGCGCTCATCCTCTGAATTACTGGAGCGCTTTCTATTCATGGGCAAAAACAAATCAGGTTACAGTTAGAAATAAAAAAAAAATCAAAGAGGACAAACTACAAAAACAGTAGGATTAAACTTAGATACAGACGAGGGATTCGGAGTCTGATATGAATCAGGTCACTGGAGTGGAAGAGTGACTGCTCAGTTTGTCGATTGTTCTAGTGGTTACATGACTCCCGACTGCGGAGGTGGTTGGGTGCATTGTCTCTCTGCAGGTAAGTGAATATAATTTAAATTCTGCAGTCTGCAGTCTGAGCAAAAAAGAAAAACAAAACAGATAATGTGTCAGTCTCTTACCAGTCTCCATTGTTTCAGCAGTGTGGCTAGATGCTGTGTTTTTGTAGCAACTTTGCATTTTAAAATGTTTTAAGATGTGATCATCAAATGAAGACATATTTAGGCAGTAAAAAATACACTCACCCTGTGGCATACCTGGAACTTAAAAATTTGTTGTCAAATTTTGCTAAGAGTTTTTTTTTTTTTCAAAAATTACTTTTTTGCATTATTTTAGGAAGGTGCTGAAATGCATAACTGTAAATAAAATGTAAGCGCTGCTTGGATTTTTTAACCCCCCGCTGTTTGTACTTTGATTTTGCTGCACATCTGTCCTTGGGTGTCTACAAATTACATACAGAGACATTTTCTTCAGGGTCGTCTCATCTTATGACTCTGGTTTAGCATACGCCACGGCCGAACATCCATTTCATCTAAGCGCTCTTGTTTCATCTGTGTCACACTCTGTGTGATGCGTTTGGACTGTCAGCGAGAAGTGAGGCCCTCAAGGCTTAACCTTGTGAAAACTGCTTGAGCTTTGAAGACGTACTTTGACACGGAGTGAAAACTGAGACTGGCGGACTGGTAAGGGACAATGAACATTTTATTAATGTTAAAGAAGGTGCTGGCTGAAGTCCAAGAGTTGCAAGAATTGGCTAATCTTCACAGGACGGTGATGACTAAAACCCATTTAAGTTTGTATCAAACAAACTGGTAATGTCGTTTTTAGAGGTCACAGTGAATAAAAATGATCAATAGATTTAAAGTTAATTATTTGGTTTGGACTGGATCACAAAAAGGTCATCTTCAATTGTTAGGTTGGTTAATTAAAGGTCCAGAACAACTGGTAATGAACAACTTTATTTTTCACAGCAGAATAAAAGTCTCCATCTGATTGTTTGTGACCCCAAGCCAAACTAATTTTGACAGGAAAGCATAACTAATTAGAAATTAGGACAGTTCATCTTAAACTTAATTAACTTAATTACTATTCATGCCTCTAAAAGGAAATTGCCTTTGGTTTTGTTAAAAAAACAAAACAAAGCTACAAACATTTTGTAGCCTTTGTTTCAGCTCTGTGTTCCAGCTTGTTTATTTTCAGTTTTGATTTGGTATGTTGATTATTTTGATGATTTTGCGGTTCCAATTAATGAAAAAACTGTTGGTCTCCTGCTTCACAAATTAAGCATTTTGGGTTATAATAATTAATGGCTGTACTGTCTGGTACCAAACAAATAGTTTGTTTTTAATTTGTATAACAAGCTGTTTGACAAGTCAGTTTTAGTCATCGCTTTCTGAAGTTCTCGAGTATAATAAAATCTAATTACTAACACCATCGTAAGCAATTCTTTATTTATTACCAAGTAGTAAAAATATGCATGCTTTCTTTCTTTTGATCAAAGCACAGGGAGCCCATCCTAACCCTGATTTGTTGAAAAGATGTTTTGATTATTTTGCATCTCTTTAGACTTTAATTTAGTCAGTTTTGTTTCATGCTTTAAAATTTGTTTGGTGCAGGACAGTATAGTGACTATATGTAATAGTCATTACATTGGTGTGTGCAATATTTACATTGCAAAAAACTTTAAGGAAAACTGAAACCATTTTGCATGTTAGTTAGATATTCAGCCTGCTAAATGAAGATCATGCAGTAAATTTCCGCCCCGGACAGAGCAACGCGTTGAAGATGCTAAAGGTCAGTGACTGTCACAACCTGGAAGAGTGAGGAAAACATGGATTTGTCGGTTGCTGTCCCAGTAACCTCAGCGTCTTGCAGCCCAACGTCTCTGCATTATGTCTGTATTTGCACCATGTTAAAAGTCTAAATTATCTTCTAGTCTGTGCAGATGCTGGCTTTAGGTGGCCTGTTCTTTTCCTCTCTGGTTCTAAACAAGAGAGTGTTTGTACAAAAAAAATGTTGCTGAATTGTTTGACCCCAATTCCCGTTTTGTCTGTTTGATGCTCAGTCCTTGATGGCCCAGAACACAAAAGTCAACTCTTCTTTCAGACAAGACAGAACGAGGCTTCAGTTTTCCCCAAGAGGAGATTTAAAGTGGCAATTCAATGGGCACAATTCTTTTGCAAGATTTGACAGCAAATTTATGATTTGGTTACGTTGGCTCTCAATAATGATAACTGATGAGAGTTTTGAAGGGGCTGACATCAATTTTGGTTTAAATCTTTGACCTGCCATTTGGGATTTAAGCCTGATCTCAGAAAGAAAGTTTCCTCTGAGATTCTTTTTATTAGGAAGATCGATGTGACAGAGGAGGAGCTGCAGATGCAGACAACGTGATTACTGTGTTGGCTTTTTCAAACAGTATCTAGTATTTTCCAATAGTGGTTAGTATTAGTAAAATGCAATTGTGCTGCTCCAAGTTCAGCCTTCCTGTAATCTGCTGAACTCTTTTCCAGCCTGTTAACACTTAGATATAATCAGATCACAAAGTGGAAGCAGATCAGATCAGGGATTCACAGATAAAATGGTGTGAAGGCCTGGTGTTTGCTAATGGATGGGCTTTTAGCAAGATTACAAATATACAAAAAAACTCACCAAATTTTTTGGTGAGTTTAATTAAATACTTTAATTAATACTTTAATTGCAATACGTATTTGCAGCACTTCATCCTTCATTTCCATGCCTATTTTGGGTTTTGGAATATAAATTTCTTTTCACAATAGATTTTAAGGCACAGTTTTGTTCTATTGTTTTTTGTGACAGGACTAATGCAGTAAGGTGGTCATAGCCCCACATCAGCTGATTTTTATGAGGGCAAATAATCTTTGAGGGTTGAAGGGAATATTTCTACAGTGATAAATGTTTTGTGTGACCAACCAGCTGCAATATTAGAAACATTTTCTGACATGAAGAGCAAGAAGGTGAGATAAATATTTTAATTTTAAAGCATTTGCTTTGTATACAACAGAATTATAACACAGTGTCTGCTATAATTGTTTAAAAAAGAAAAACACAATGACGCATCTCCATTATCCAGTGCTGGTTTACCTTTATGAGGCCTGTGTGAGAGTTTGTATTTGTGTTTCGTAAATGGCAAGCTCAGACAACAGTCATCTTTTGAAAATGCTTTGTGATTTTTTTTTTTTACTATTATCATGTAATGTAAAATCATTGGTTTTACATTTGCAGTGCCTTAAAAGCATATTTTAATATCAAATAAGGGGAAAGTCCAACACCGCAAACATGTATTTTCCTTCTTCATTGACTCATATTTCCCTTTCAATCCCTGTTTTCAGGCGTTCCCTCTGCTCCTCGCAATGTGGTTTCAGTGGTGAATCAGACGTCGGTGATCCTGGAGTGGCACTCGCCACGCGACACCGGGCACCGGGACGACCTGTCATACAACGTGGTGTGCCGGCGTTGCCACAGCAGCGAGCGGCGGGCATGCCAGCCATGCGATGACAGCGTGGTTTACACTCCGGGCAAGGAGGCGTTGAAGGGAACAAGGGTGGAAATCAGCAAGCTTCGTGCTCACACCTCGTACACCTTTGACATTCAGGTTTGTGTCTGCAGGTGTTATCTTAGATTTGCAAGGAAATGCAAGTATAGGGCGATTCTTACTATGCAGTGTAAAAAACCCAAATAGTTTAGAAGCTTAAAATTAATTGTATGTTATGAGAAACATTCCTCAAGTTTTGTTTGCTCCATTCATACATGATAAGCCACTTTAAAAACATCCTTGTTCTCATCTGTTTTTGTTTAAAATGCAAATTGCTGCCACCTATTCACTAAAATGCTCAAAGTTACTGGCGCTACATAGAAAGTTGCTGACCTGCAGCCTTTTATGCAAAATCTGCAATTATAGCATCTGCCAGCTTACAAGGTCACTGTAATGTCTGTAAAGCCTTTATAGAGATAAACATTCAATCTTCCCCCATCTGGCTCCTTTACTGTAACAATTTTAGAGCTCAATTTTGTTTCTTAATTGTGACATCCAAGGACATCCTGAGTAAAATAATATTTCCACATATAAACATAGTTATTTGAATTCTCTGATTTATGAGATTTTCCCATAAAGCAGGGTTGAATGTAAACTAGTGTATTCTGAAAATACTGAATGAAATTGTTCTTATTTCCCCCACTATCCACAGAAAAATCTATGATAAATAAGTCGAGATTGGAATTAAAATCTTATTTTTTCTTAGTTTTGGATTTACCGTTTTGTTCTGCGGGGGGTTCGAGTCTTAAGCAGCAGATTTAGCGGTTAGGGAAAGGCAGAAACATAAAATTAAATTAGCAGAGCCTCAAGTAAATTATCATAAATTAAAACATTAATTTGCCCTGACTAAGGCATTGGTTTCACTGTCAGAATGATTAACTGCACACTTGGCAAACAATATATGGCAACTGGTCTCGTCTTTGGAACCCACAGAGAATGTGGTCAGCTTGTCTTTGTCTCAGAGATAAGACATTCAATCTAAAAACAATTCACTTTTGTGGCAATTTTAACAGATTCTTCTGTCAGGCTTAAAATGCAGATAGTTTTTGTACTAGACAGACATCTCAGTCAAAGGATTCTGCTTTTCTAATGTGATGCGGTTGATGAATAATTCTGGACGCTGGCAGAATTTGGCTTGTGCCGTCAAGGACAAATCCAAAAATCATTCTCCTATTATTATACAGTGGATATGAAAGTGTAAAGGCTTCAGTCTGAATGCCAGGTTTTTAATAAGAAAATTATTATTAATAGATTTTAAAATTTATTTTACTTGAATAAATCTGAGTAGGTAGAAAATCTGTGTGTCTATTTGTCTACAAACTTTACAAGATAGCCAGTTAGAAATCTAGCTGCCTAACTTATCCTTGATAGTATTTTTTTAACAATTGTTTTATGTATTTGCCTCTGTAAATCACCTCATTTAGACATGTAACTGTGTTCTGTATTGTCTCTATTGTTTAAAAACTGACCATTTGGTATTAACTGTGCAGACAGTCAACGGAGTGTCCAATAAGAGTCCTTATCCCGCCCAACAGCTGTCAATCAACATTACAACCAATCAGGCAGGTGAGTTGGAACTGAAAAGGAAACAAACTGTTGTGCGTGTGTGTTTACAAGCGTCTGTGTGTGTGAGCATACCCCGGGGCACAGTGGATTAAATGCGGGAGGGATGGCTGGAGAGATAAAGGAAATTGAGCTGCAGCCTTTTAATTCATAAAACATGCTACAGGGTTGTCGTCTCCTTACCTTCCTCTGTTCCTCCCCCCTTCACCTCTTCCTGCACATTCGCAGCTTTAATCCTTTTTCAACTCTCCTCTTTCTCTCTTTTCCTTTTCTGAGCTTTATCTCCCCGAACCGTGCCCTCCTTCTCCCACTCAACCTGCTGCTAACATAACGTAACCGAGTTATTGCTCCATCAAAATCTTAGGGAGACAGACATAAGTAATACTTCCACTTCTACTTAAATTTATATTTGAAAACTACTTTTCTCTGATGGAAAAATATAAGTGAAACCTGAAACCTGATCCACTGCCGCTCTGCCACTTACCAAGTGCGTTTTCCGCTGATGTCTGATGCAAACTCCTCAAGCTCCTGAAATATTTTAGGTTACAACAATATCATCTTTTATCAGCGACTTAACTACGATTGAAGGGGCTTTTTATGTAGGCGGCAGGTTTTGAGTGTCGTTCGCAGAACTTTATGATTTACCAAACTCAATGCACTTAGAAACAAAATTGTAAAGCAACGAACTGACATGAAAGACTAAGGCTTTCAAACCACAGCTCATTCATACTGTTGCACTTAAATGCATTGATACTTCTTAAATTACACCAAAATCTGCAGATTACTTGGCTGTTTAAGATGAATTATTGATTTTTCAGATACAATGGCTAAAGATGATTCACTGTAATACATGGAGAGAAAATGAAATTACTTTAATTTTTTTCCCCTCCTCTCTCAAATACTTTTCATTAAAGTGAACCATTGCAATGCATTTCATTGCTATCTTCAGTAATAGCCCCCATAATTCCTTTATGTCTTCTCTCAACAAAAGACTATTGCAGAAATATGATTTAGAAAACTACATCACTAGCAGCTAAATCCTGAAGTCTATTACAGCCAAATGTCTACAAATCCTGAGATCACAGATACAAATGCATTAAAATATTCCACACGTTCCCACATCGTTGAGAAAAACTGCAATTTTATTTCACGTCCACTGAAGTAGAAACCTTTCCCTTTTTCTTTGCAAGCATCTTAAGCATTTTATCATTACATTTCACTCTATTTGCATATTTATAATGTCTAAACATCCTGGTGAATCTGTAAAACTCCTAATCGGTTGTGTGTTGGTGCGTTTGCGTGTGTGAATGTCTGTTTTATGCCAGCTCCCTCTGAGGTTCCCATAATGCACCAAGTGAGCTCAACGAGCCGCAGCTTCTCTCTTTCATGGCCGCCACCCGAGCAGCCCAACGGGATCATCCTCGACTACGAGATCAGATACTACGACAAGGTAGACTGGAATGATAAATGTGTGTGTGTGTGTGCGTGTGCGTGTGTGTGTGGGTGTGTGTGTGTGTGTGTGTGTGTGTGTGTGTGTGTGGCTGAACGTTTGGTGTTTCGTTCTCAGCCAGTAATCTGCTGGGAGTCGATAAAACAGGAAAATCAATGTGAAGTGCATTAATGTCATTTAATTAACTCTTAGTAAGTTCTGCTTTATTTTGCAAACATCTTTGCTCTCTGAGATCTGAATGCTTGTTTTCATTTTGCGCATCACACCTCAAAATCCACAAGGAGAACATTTTAGAGCGATTGTGTACTCCAGATGTGATTATTGCACCATTTAAACTCTTACAGTAAAATCTGTTTACGTTTCTAGTCTTTATAATGTTCATACTTTCAATTCTTAAACTTTATCAAAGTCATGATTCTAATTCGATAAAGACTTATATTGTTACACTGAAAATATTAATAATGAAATGTTAAAAGTGGTGAAATCTGTTACATATTACTGAGTGCAGAAAAATGTTTGACATCTTGAAATATTCAAAATATGCATTTAAAAATATAATGAGGCTTCAACACCATCAGTCTCTGAATACCAGGCTATGAAAAGGTTAATTAAAAAGAAAACCTCCAGAAGCCTCAGTACAAAGTCTTTTTTCAAGCTTTGACAAGGTTGCTAATTGAATGAATTGATTGTCTACTTCAAATCAATCAAAGGAAGTGTTTGTGAGTTGCTGTAAATGGATTTATAATAGAGCCAAGCACAATGTTGTTTTGTACCTGGCAGAACAGTGATGGGTATAAGATGGCAAACTTATTAGAGGAGGCAAATTTTAAACATTTTAATGGATAAAAAAGTTCATGTATATTTTCAATTTGTCCCATTTCACATCCTAGTAGATGTGTTTAATACATCGGTGTATTGCAAAATCACTTAATAATTTCTTAAACATTTATTTCTTTATTTTCATGTTCTTCTTCCTCTGACTTAACATGCCTACTGCTCCAACTGCTGATGAAAATAACTGCTGCTGCGTTCGCTGGCTGACACACTTGGCATGATCATTAATTAAGGACAGCTGCTGGCGGAAAGCTGTCAACGTGTTTGTGATTTGTTTAACTGTTGCATTTTCTCCCTCGCTGGTGGTAGATGTCCAGTCATGTCGATGCATCATCTTTGACAGAATCATCTCGTAATTAGTGAAGATGGATTTTTGAAGTGAAAGGCAGATCATTTGTTATATAGTCTGTGGTCACACAAAGAGTGAAAGGCTCCTTTCAACAATTAAAAATGAGCGCACTCTTTTCTTTTTGGAGATTATGGTGATAACAGTCAGATACTGTTTTGCAGTAATAAGGTACAATAAAACTCTTTAGTCCTTAGCTATATGGCCTTATAACAAGCTCATATTTTAATTATTTATTGCCAACAAAATACAGATGATTAATCTCTTGTGATTCACAATGTTGGTGTTCAGTGCCGACTAACAACTGCTTAAACTCTGACCTCCCATTGAGAAAAAACTAAACACTTAAAGCTTTTCTACAACATATAAAAACTTTTGTCTAGTCAAAGCAAAGTTTTGCCTGCTCTTTTAAGGAACAGTACTTTAGCATTTGGATTAATTTGAAAAAAAATTGTTTCTGCAATAATCGCTGATGTTTCAGAAACACAAATCTGTCCAATCACCAGATTACAATACAAGTGCTGGATATTAACCAGAGCAAACATATAATTCACTTCCAAACACCAAAAAACCCTAAATGACAATAACTGACTTTGTTACTAGTATGAGTGGAAAATAATTATGTTGCTCATTTGGTTCAGATGTTTCAGACTTATCCAAAACAACACAAATGGAAACATTTTAAAATCGATTCGTATTAAATTTAGTCTTTTTTTTAATTAAAATATACTGTGCAGCTGGAATAAGAGAAACAAGAGATGTTGTAGTAAACACAACCTCAGTCGTCAATATAATTTTTAGTATCATTTCTCTTTACTTTTCTCTGGTTTCATATTTCAGACTGTGCATTGTGACCCGGTTTGTGGACAGTACTGACTAATATTGGCCGCTTGTTTGCTGAAGGAGATTGCCTCCTCTTTCCTCCTCTCACTGTGTTCATGTGTTCATTTCTCTCTGTGGACTCTAAGACCTCTGGGTTCACACAGGTTCTCTCATCAGGGAAGGATTCAATATTTTCATTCCAGAGCGACTCGAACACACAAAGTGAAGCCTTTCCTCAACCAAAACAACATTTCCTTAAGGTGTATATGCTGAACATCTTCAGTTTTCTTTAAAGCCTTAATGGCATCACCAGCAGGCTAAATAAAAGATGTTTTTGAAAAATATTTTAGGCACTTTCTTCAAAACTCAGTGGAACTTTAGCTTTAGCTTTTGTACAATAAGTTAACTATGTCCAGATTCTTTGCCCCTCCTCCCTGGGTTTAGTCAGTTAGTCCAGATGCAGTTTTTCCTATCAGGTTTGCCAGCTGCTTCAGGGGATCCTGATGTGTTTATAAGCCATATTTGATATGTAATTCCTCCAACAGGCCCTAAAACTATCCAAGAGGTTCTTTTGTTTTTTTTTTAGCATGCATACATTTAGCAGAAAATCTCCACAAAGGCCCATAAAGTGTCTTTATCGATGCTCTCTGTTGGTATCTATGTTTTTCTCTGTATTTAAAAAACTCTTATTGGAAGTTTTATTTTTTTTGTTTGCACATTTTGTTTGTAAATGTGTGGTTAACAATGTAGCAATATCTGAATGCAGATGATAAATGGAGTCAGTTTAAATAACCGCTGGCTTTCCTGACTGATAACAGAGAAATTCCAGATCATTTTGAATCAGGCAGGAACACGAATGCCAGACCCGGGGCGATTTTAAGAGCAACTAATTCAGGGGTAAAACTTGTGGCACCAGATTGCTTTCCCGTGAAAGGCTGCTGCTACGTTTCTGTCGGGAGTAAAATTGCCTAAATGAAAGAAAGTGGGATCTCTCAATAAGTCCTTGTAATTTGCTGAATGTTAAGCTGTGAACATGAAAGGTAAGTTACTGGAGTATCTGTCACTTAAAGCAAAGACTGTTCCCGTCTTTTCTGAAACTGAGCCCAGAACTGGAAAGACACTTTGCTGCAGACAGATGAAAAACAAAAAGCACAAGGAATTGTGTAAGATGTACCGAAAAGAACACGAACCTCCAATCTACCCACTCGTTTTTACTCCTAATCCACCTGTCTTTCCTTAATAGATATATACAAAATAAGCTTTTTTTTCTTGGTTGCAATTGCTGGTGTACAAGATTCTCCACACCATACCCTTCTTTTCATTATGTACTGCAAATGTTGCCAATTGTGACTCTTTTAGGCTCAATTTCAGCAGTTGTCTTTAATTAAAACATTCAGACATACTCTTAACATCTAGGAGTTTATGGCAGTTTTCAGAGTACACATCCCCCAATAAGAACTGAGGAGGGTTGCAACAACAAGATGGGGATCTCACAATAACAGTGATGCAGTAACGGATTGCAGGTGTTTAACTTGAGCAGAGAGGTTATGCAAGTAGACTGGTTGTGCTTTTATGGTGTAAAAAGAAGCAATGTTTCATTGATCATCTGCCACAGCTGAAATATTATCATCAGATATTGAAATTGGCCAAAAATGTAGATCTCTTCAACCTCAAAAGTGTTTTATTTGGGCAGAAACGGAATGCAACGCAAATAATACAATAATTGCATTTTAAATAAACCAAAAGTTACATTAGTGCATGTTGAAACCCTGAAGAAAACATACTGCTGTGGCGTGGACTTACAAAGAATCATTCATAGAAACAATAGTAATTAAATTACACAGTTACATGCAGCTGTCCAACTTGGTAATAACACTGGTTTCCTTCTTTTCAAAGTATTGCCTGCAAAACAGGATCCAACCAGTTTGACTGTGTAATTCCCCCAGAGGGGGAATATTCTACTCGATTTACGGTTTTCACAAAAATTATCTCCAATATTTGTTTTTTTAACCCATATTACAGATGATACCACCCGATCCCCATTTTCTACTAAACAATACATTTTAACTTCTTCATTGAATAGTTTTCTCAGCATAAAGACATGTTAATAATTACCTCTTGAACATTTTTTCCATAAATATGTATTAAGCCTCTTTTTGCTCTTTTGCCCTGAAATAAAATCCAGGGAATTAGTAAGCAGATATCATCTGTGTGTAATATAATCTCAGCATAAAGGCCTCACAGGGTTATTGGAGAACATTATTGAAAAGAAAAGTGAAGGAGGAGTAGGCCATAAAATTATATCCAAAAGCTTTGAACGTATCATGGATTAGTGTTAGATTTTAGTTTGCAACAACTGCAGACCTGACCCGACCCTCAACCTGAACTAACAGGCCCTGCAAAAAGAGCAATTATTATAGAAGCACTGATAAGAGCTGCAAGAATCTATAACTGTGGTTAGAGGACCTGTACAAAGTCAAACAATTAATGGTGTACTTCATAAATCTGGTCTTCATTTTGAGCTGTTCCTCCAGGGAACATAGAAAACAAAATAGTTTATTATTCTTTTCTTTTTTTACCTTTTGACCTACATTCAAAATGCATTGCATGGTGAAAAATGTAACACCCGGATCACAGCATCTTCACCATGAAACACGGTAGTAGCAGCATCATGGTGAGGGGCACTGGAGTAAACACAGATCCTGGATGCGCTGTGTAAAATGGCATGGACCTGAATCAAACGAGATCTGGAATACCAGAACAAGGTCCAAGGTCAAGAAACAAAAAAAAGATCAATTTCTGCCTGTAGATGAGGATGGCTGTTAGGTACATATCCCAAAAGACTTGTATACACTGCAAATAATTCAGATTTCATTTACAGAAAATTCAAAACTTCATTTTGAATATTAAATAGATCCAGAGAAAGTAAAACAACATGACAAAATTATGAGGGTTTTTTGGTGGATTTAAAACTCAGACATGGAACTGTACCTTCACAGCAAATTTAGCAAATTCATAATTACTCGATCTCTTCTTGAAATAACTGTGAAAGAGTTGAACTGGAACCAGCTCTGAACAGGACCGAACAGATTCGTGTTCCTCCACTTTGATCCAGGAAAAGATGGAAAACAGCAGACTTGATGTCGCATAACACGATGTGCTTTTAACACTGTGAGGACGATGACAATGAGCCAAGGAGATATTTATTACAGCTGCAGTCAAAACTCATAATACCTCACCCTGAGTCGGCCTTATTTGCTGCTAGGTTTCCGTTAATAAAGTCTCACATTGAAGTCAATTAGGATTCTGCATTTCCCACTGTGAAGCAGTCGACCACGTAAAGACTAATTTTAGCTCATAGCTTTAAGTGAAGATGTCCTGTGGGAGCAGTTTGATAAGCCTGGTGAGAGAGGACACACAGCTGTGCTGCACCCTTTTTTCTGGCAGTTTTGTCATTTTTTTCACCTTCCTCATCTCCTGCAGCTCTTCTCTCCGTCCTCCCTCACACCCACTCTATAGTTAATGAGTTTTAATGTAGTAAATTTGATATGGTGGAGAAAGTCCAAATTTTCCCCTCTTACTTATCTCTGTCTGCCAGGCCTTCCCAGACGCCCTGCCCCCTAACCTCTTTACTCCAGTCAGCATGGAGTCGAGCTTTCCTCGCCACACACAACTCCAGAATCTAAACTCCAACACTGACGCCACGTCTTTCCTCTACCCACTTCCAAAACTTACCTACTTTTTGAACTTTGAAATCATCCAAAATCCACCGTTTAATTATCAGCTGACATTGCTGGCATAAATGTGCAATAACATTTTACATACACGTTATATGGACATAATTTAGGTCAATACCTATAAAGACAAGGAAGGAGTAAAAAGTTTGATCTCATCATGATTAGTATTTTGATAGAAGAGAATGGGTTAATGACTGACATGTGGAAAATGGGTTTTCGCTATGAATATTTATGATAGAAAATGCAATCATCTTTAACCCCATGTCTTCTTCTGATAACCCGCCCTTTTTCTCCCCAATCTACCGGCAATTTCCACCCACTCGTCTCCCTCCTGGGCGGTGTTCCTCATCACCGCCATCATCTCTTTTCCTCTCCACTTTGCTCTGCCGTCGACCTCCCCGCCCCGCCGTCCTTCATTCTCGTGCCACGATTCCCGGTCTATACCTTCACGCCGCCACCACGGCAGACCTTTCGTTCTGCTGCCCGCTCTTAGATTTAGCCTCTGTAAAACCTTGTTATCTGAAAGAAAATGACAGAACATAGGAAGTCTAAAATGAGAATAAGGGGGCATAGATGGAGGTAAAAGGTGACAGCCTTGGATTTATGAGATGGGACAGATAATGTGGAGGCGAATGGAACGGGAGAAGTCCACATGCTCATCTTTCTTTGTGGGTAAAAGCTAATTAACTGCAATAAGTTCTTATTGTATTTGCATAGAATGGAAAGATGAATGACTCAAGAGCAAGGAGGAAGAAAAATGGTCACCAGGAAAGGGTTTAGGTGTGTTGGAGAAATAATTGACATAAAAATGCTAATCATCCATAAGCTGAAAGACGGTGAGAATGAAATATGAACAGAGTTCTTTATGATGTGACATCCATGTAGATGTTGATGTCACATCATAAAGGATTATGTAAATGAGAACCATTGAGGAGGCCAGAAAAAATGGAGAAAAGCAGCTCTAAATCAAAACGTCGACATAGATTTCAGAATGTTTGCGGCCTGATGTTGCCGTCTATGGGTGGAAGATGCAACAACGATGCTGCAATTTTCTCTTTTCAGTTTTCTCTCAGGCAGATGAGCAGCTGAAATAACATTTATGTGCATTGATGGAAGAGTTTGCCAGGTGCTATTCTTAAAAAGAAGATGGACATTTTGACTTTTTAAGAACCATGCGGACACAATTATGTATGGGCAACATGGATCAGCAAAAGTGCAGCAAGTTTGTCCTTCTGCCTCTTTCTCTAAAAC